ATTCCTCATCCAATTGTTCATTTTCGCTTTGAAATAAAACACCCTTGGTTTCTTGCTTTCTTCTTCTTCTTCTTTGTTTTATTTATATATATATTTTTTAAATTTTGTTGTTGTTGTTTAGCTTGAAATATGTTTAATTTTTTAAAATATCCCTTTTTGGTTTGCTCTAACCACCGAAACAGAAAATCTTCTGTTTCTGTTCTTTCGCTTCAAACATATATCAATTATTTTTTTTTTGTATTTTTCACATTAACAATTTTCAGATTTTTTTTTTGGTTTTTAATATTTGTTAAATCTTAAATTATGCATATTTAAGCCTTGTATGTTTGGTTTGGTTTTGTTTTTTATTTTTTTTTAATATATTTCTGTTAAATTTTTGTTAGTTAATATTTAATGTTAAGTTTCTGTTCCTTTTCTTCGGTCTTTGTGTTAAAAAGTCTTTTTTGTTTTGTTTTTTGTCAAATAACATTTGAATGTCTTTCTGTCATTCCTTCAATCATCCATTGATTTGCGTTTGTTTGTTTGGTTTTTTTTTTTTAATTTTTTTTTTGTGTATCGAGAATTGTGGAGGCGGGGAGGGGGAGATATTGTTTACAATATTCATTTGTTATGGTTTATTTATTTATTTATATCCTTTGTCATAATAAATTGTTGGTCTTGGTTTTTAGAAATTTTTGCAGAGTATTTTTTAAGAGAATAATTTTTAGGTTTTTTTTTGATTTATTTTTTTGAAAAATATTTTTTTTTAAATTCTGCATTTACTAGTTTTTGTTAGTAAAGAAATAGTTGTTTTTTTTTTTTCAAAATATTGAAAAGGGCGGGTTTTTTGTATGAGTGAGTGAGTGGGTGATGTGCCGTATTTTTTTTGGTGTCAAGGCATGAAATGTCCAGGAACTAAAGGTAAGAATATATACAACGCTTTTTTGACTGGCGTCATCGGAAAATAAGAAAGGAGCGTAGGCTAAAATCGAACTAAGTCAACCTAAAAATCCTTTGTTTTTCTACTAAGAAGTCAGCCAAAAAGCCTTTTATGAACTCTCACCTTGACACACTGTCTGCTGGGTCCAGGATATTTCACACCAAGTCTTATTCTCCCATCTGTTTTTTTTTTTGTGAAAATAGCAGCATATCCTTAAAATATGTCCTTGTGATTTGTTATGTCATTATTAAAGCTTATATTTGTTTTTGGTTGGTTGGTTGAAACTGATGTTGGCGCAGATATTTTTCCATAAGTTTTTGTTATTTATTTATTTGTTATGTTATTGTGATAGAAAATTTGTTGTTGTTGTTTTTACTATTTTCTTTTGTTGTTGAGGCTTTTTTTGTTTAATTAAGCACTGAAAAAACATTAATCTTAGTTGGCAATTTAAAGATCATTGAACAAGAGCCACGTAACTAAATAACAACTTTTAAAGCATACTTTTAGGCGTTTTGTAAAGAATTTAAATTTCTTTGAGTTTTTTCTCCTATTTGAGTATCCTAAGATAAACTTGGAAATTTGTTAACAAAAATTATTTCAAGTTCAAAAGACTCACTACAAAAAACAATGACCCGGTTTTGGGGGCATTATTCACATTTTGGGTGCTCATTTCAATTTTTTTTTATTGGGTGTTTGGTTTTTCTTTTTCTAATTCGATCTCTATATTTTATAAAAATTTCTAATCTACAGTGAGTGATGATGGGGTGTCTTGTTCAATATTCCTTAAATCGTATTTATTTGTGGAATAAGAATTATTTGTTTGGTTATCGGTTTTGAGGAAATAGATTTTGTACAGTGTCGTTTTTTTCTTGGGAGGAGGGGAGGTCAAGAGGGTGGTGTATTTTATTCTTTTTTTTTGTAAACATTTATGAACATTTAATAATAAAGATAATGTGTTTTTTATGTAAAATGGAAATACAAAGTTTAGGAATTAAATTAAAAAAAAAAAAATATTTTCAAAAAAAAAAAAAAAAATATTTGAATTGGTTACTCGAATTTTTCGTCAACGATTACTTCCGATTTTCATTTTAAAATTTTTCAAAAATTATATCCGATATGTTCCGCAATCATTTTTTTTTCTTGGGAAACGGTTACTCGGAGTTTTGGAAACGGTTACTTGGATTTTTGGAACCGGTTTCTCGGTTTTTTACGAACGGTTATTGGGTAACGATTGCTCGTTGTATTCAAATGGAAAGTTTCAAAAATCCTAAAAAATATGCAATTATTTTTAGGTTTTGAAAACGGTTACTCAAAGTTTTGAACCGGTTACTTAGCGTTTTTTTAGGCTATTGTTGGCCATAAATGTCTTGGTAAGGCCCATTAAAAAAGAAAACAAAGAAATAACAACAGTTTATTGAAATTCAATATTTTAGGAAACCGGTTACTCGGTTTCTTACGAACGGTTATTGGATTTTTAGGTAACGATTACTCGTGGTTTTCCTATGAAAAGTTACAAAAATTCATAAAAAAAAGTCTGTTATTATAAATTTGTTTGGAAACCGATTACTCAAAGTTTTGGAACCGGTTACTTAGGTGACTTTTAGGCTATTGTTGGCGAAAACAGGCTTTTTATATCTTTATTAAAAAGAAGATAAGTAAATAACAACATTTTATTGAAATTCAATATTCTTTGAAACCGGTTACTCGGTTTCTTACGAACGGTTATTGAGATTTTGGGTAACAATTACTCTTTGTTTTCGCATAAAAAGTTTCAAGAATTCTATAACAAGTTTTTTTGCAATTATTTTTATTTTTTGAAAACGGTTACTGGAAGTTTTGAAACCGGTTACTTAGGGATTTTTAGACTATTGTCAGTGATAACAGACTTTTATGATTTTATTAAAAAGTGAAACAAAGAAATAACAATATTTTATTGAAATTCAATAATTTATGAAACCGGTTACTCGGTTTCTTATGGCTGATTATTTGGATTTGGGTTTTCCGGTAATGATTACCCGTTGTTTTCGCACGAAAATTTTCAAGAATTCTTTAAAAAAAATCTTCTGCAATTATTTTTATTTTTCGGAAACGGTTACTTCAAGTTTTGGAACCGGTTACTTAGGGGGTTTTTAGACTATTGATGGCGATAATAGGCTTCTTATGACTTTGCTATAAAAAAGACAAAAGGATATATTTTTTTATTGAAATTCTAAATTTTATGAAACCGTTTACTCGGTTTCTTACGACAGGTTACTTAGTTTTTGGCTTTTTATGTAACGTCTACTCTTTTTCTTGTTATGAATAGTTTCAATAAGTCTCTTTAATTATTTTTATATTTGGAAACCGGTTACTCGAAGTTTTGGAACCGGTTACTCAGGGGTTTTTGGACTATTGTTGTTGATAAACGGCCTTATATGTCTTTATTAAAAAACGGAGTGAAAGAATTAACAACTTTTTATTGAAATTCAATGTTTGGAGTACCGGTTACTCGGTTTCTCAAGACCGGTTATGTGTTTTCTTGTAATTTATATTTCAAATGTTATTTATTTGTTTACTTCTTAGAATTGTTATCTATATATAAAGCTATTCGGTTTTCTAATCTTTTAAATCTGAAATTTGGTACCGGTTACTCGGTACCATATCAATTTTATTTGTCCATAAGAACATCCATAACCTGTAGCTTTAGTATTCTTATAGCCTAGAAAGTTTTGAACGACTTCAAATGTAAAAATTTGACTTTTCCCGACTGGTTACCTGATATTATGAAACGGTTACTCGATTTTGATGAATCAATATTTGCTAATTGCTGATAAATTGCTAATAATGAGATTTTTGCGAAATTTTAAAGCGGTTATGCGGGTTTTTAAACGGTTTTCTCGTTTTGTTGAACCGGTTACTAGAGTTCTATTGAACTGGTAACACACAATTCCGCATTCATTTCGCTTCTTTTTTCAGTTTCATGTGTATTTTGATTTTTTTAAATGGTAATTGGGGTTTGGGTAACGGTTATTCGGTTCAATCAATCAATATTTGTTTGTAAAATGACAGTTATTAGTGTTAAGAAAACTCCAAAAGCTTAGAATGAAATTTACGTTGAGCTTTAAGTGGATTTTTTGAGGTTTTGAGCCGGTTACTCGATTTTCTGGAACCGGTTACCCGGTTACTTTGAACCGGAAACACTCAATTCTGCATTCATTTCGTTTCTTATTACAGTTTTATGTGTAATTTCATCTTTTTTTTATTATAATGGTTATTATTATAATGGTTTTTGAGATGTGGGCTACGGTTACTCGGTTCAGTGAATCAATATTTGCTTGTAAAATTACAATTATTAGTGTTTAAGAAACTCAACTTGCTTATAACGAGATTTACGCTAAGCTTTAAAGGTTTTATTTGAGGTTTTGAAATGGTTACTCGCTTTTCTGGAACCGATTACCCGGGTACTCTGAGCCGGTAACACTTTATTCTGCATTAATTTTGCTACTTGTTATTGTGTACTGTTTAATTTGATGTTTTGAAATGGTTATTTGGGATTTTGGTAACGGTTACTCGGTTCGATGAATCAATATTTGTTTGAAAAAATGCAAGTTATGAAGCTTAGAAGACTCCAACTGCTAACAACGAGATTTACACAAAATTTTGAAGCGGGTTTTCTGTTTTCTGAACCGGTTACTCGTTTTTCTGAACCGGTTACTCAACTTTTTGAACCGGTTATTCGGTTTTCTGCAACAAAAAAATTTTTAAATTTCAAATTGAATTTAAATGAAAATATTTTCCAAAACTTTGTATTCCCATTTTACAGCTTAATAAAATAAATAATAAATTATTATAATTATTAAGTTTTTGCTTTTTGAAACCAAATGAACTTAAAATCTAAAATCACAGAAAGAAACATATACATTTATATTACGTAGAAGTAGAATTACTTGAATTAGAATACAAAAATAAACTATATAACATCAAGAAAAAAATTCGATCTGATCTAAATTAAATATTCTCTTGTTTTTCTGTCTTTCAGGAACTAAATATTTTTTTTTTTGGTTTTTAGTTTTTAAAAGTTATATAAATTAGAAAAAAAAAATTGTTTTATATATGTATATATAATAAGACTACACCGAAAATAAGTTACAAAAAAAAATTATTTGTTTGGGTGTTTTCTTTCGACAATTATTCAATTATCAAACAACGAGGCATGTGATCTTTGAGATATTCAAAGAGTTCCTGGGATGCACCCGGACAATTGGTCAGCTCCAATTCTTGCAAATGCCTCAACTGTATGAGACTGGACAGACCCGATGAGGTAAGCAATGGACAGCCGGCCAGCGAGAGGACCTGCAGGTTACGCATTGAGCACAAATGTTGTAGGCCAAAGTCACGAACTTGTGAGCACCAGCGTAAGAATAAAGCGGTTAGCGAGAGCATGGTGGAGATGTAGCCAACACCAATGTCGGTTATGTGGACACATCTGAAAATGAAAAAAAAAAAATATATATATAAAGCCTTCTAGGGGTTGGCGGGGGGAGGAGGTATATTTACCTATCCAACGTTAATTCTTCCAATTGATTTAGATCACAGGCAATATACTCCAGCGAGGCATCCGTTATACGTGGACACCATGACAAATCCAATGCTCGTAGTTTTTGTAGATTTTCGGCAATCAGCTCCACACCATCGTCGGTCAATTTACTACAACCGGATAAGCTTAAAACTGTCAAATGCGGCAGCGAATGGACTGCAAATATAAGAAAACCAAAAACATTTTGAGAAAAAAAGTTCTACTTATATTGTGATTTTTACATGATATCTAATAGAGTTAAGGAGATTGGTTGTCAAGAGACCCTTTTTGAAATTTTCTGAAGAATATTTTCCTCTCTAAGACCAAATCTCTAAAGTTACGTTTTCATGCAGTACAGAAACGATTTGTAAATGTTTAATAAAAATTTGCAAACAAAAATTTTAAAAGTCTTTTTTATATATCCGTGCGACTAAAAACACTTATTATATATAACGATTTTTTGTGTTCGAAGACTCATAATGGAATTTGATAAGGAATATTTTTTCCATTAAGATCAATGCTCTAAAATAATGTTTTGATACGATATCTGGCCATTGAAAAAAAAATGTCCAAAAGTTTCACACAAAAAATTATAAGTAGTTTTAAATATATGCAAATTAGGTCCGAAATTTAATCGGAATATGCTACATATTCCGATTTTTTGTGTTGGGAGACTCATAATGAAATTGAATAAGGAATATAATTTTCATTAGGACCAACGCTCTAAAATAATGTTTTGGTACAATTTCCGACCATTGAAAAAAATGCCCAAAAGTTGCAAGGAAAAAAATTACAAATAATTTTGTATTTAACCAAATTTAACCCGATATTTAATTGGAATGCGTTATAAATTCCAATTTCTTGTGTTCGGAGACACATAATGGAATTTGATAAGGAATATTTTTTCCATTAGGACTAATCCTCTAAAATTATGCTCTGATACAATATCCGACAACATTAAAAAATGTCCAAAATTTTCAAATAAAAAATTTACAACTTATTTTGTATACAACCAAATTGAAACCGATATTTAATTTGAATATACAATATTTACCGATTTTTTGTGTTCGGAGACTTATAGTGGAATTTGATAAGGTATGTTTTTTCCGTAAGGACCAATGCCCTAAAATATTCTTTTGGTACAATTTCCGACCATACTAAAAAATACCTTAAAATCTCAAACAAAATATTTACAAGTAGTTTTGAATATAGCCAAATTAGGTCCGAAATTTGATCGGAATATTCTACATATTCCGATTTCTTATGTTCGGAGACTCATAATGAAATCGAATAAGGAATATAATTTTCATTAGAACCAACGCTCTAAAATAATGTTTTGGTACAATTTCCGACCATTGAAAAAAATGCCCAAAAGTTGCAAGGAAAAAAATTACAAATAATTTTGTATTTAACCAAATTTAACCCGATATTTAATTGGAATGCGTTATATATTCCAATTTCTTGTGTTCGGAGACACATAATGGAATTTGATAAGGAATATTTTTTCCATTAGGACTAATCCTCTAAAAGTATGATCTGATACAATATCCAACCACATTAAAAATGTCCAAAATTTTCAAATAAAAAATTTACAACTTATTTTGTATATAACCAAATTGAAACCGATATTTAATTAGAATATACTATATATTCCGATTTCTTGTGTTCGGGGACTCTTAATGGAATTTGACAAGGATTATTTTTTCCATTAGGATCAACGCTATAAAACAATGTTTTGGTACAATTTTCGACCATTTTTAAAAATGCCTAAAAATCCCAAATAAAAAATTTACATGTAGTTTTGAATATAACCAAATTAGATCTGAAATTTAATCGGAATATGTTATATATTCCGATTTCTTGTGTTCGGAGACTCATACTAGAATTTGATAAGGAATATTATTTTCATTAAGTTCAAAGCTCTAAAATAATGTTTTGGTACAATTTCCGACCATACTAAAAAAAGCCTTAAAATCTCAAGCAAAATATTTACAAGTAGTTTTGTATATGACCAAATTAGATCCGAAATTTAATCGGAATGTGTTACATATTCCGATTTCTTGTGTTCGGGGACTCATAATGGAATTTGATAAGGAAAGTTTCTTCTATCAGGACCAAGAAGATGTGTTCATGAAATTTCCGACCATTATAAAAAATGCCCAAAATTTTCAAACAACGAAATTGCATGCGATTTTGAAAATAAACAAATTTAAGCCGATATTTAAATAGAAAATACTATATATACCGATTTTTTGTGTTCGAAGATTCATAGTAGAATTTGATAAGGATTATTTCTTCCATTAGGACCCAAACTCTAGAATGATATTTTGATGCAATTTCCGACCATTCTAAAAAATGCAACGAATTTACGAGTAATTTTGAATATAGCCAAATTAGACCCGATATTTAATGGGAATATAGTCTATATTCCAATTTCCTCTGTTCGCAGACTCATAATGGAATTTGATGGGGAATATTTTTTTCCTTAGAACCAATCCTCAAATACGATGTTTTGATACAATTTCCGGCCATTGTAAAAAAATCCAATTTTTTGCATTATTTCAACATTTCGGTTTACCCAAATTGAACTCCATTTTTGAGTGGTATCTGCTTAACATATTGATTTCTGATGTTTGAAGACCAACAGTAGAATCTCATGCAGAATATTTTTTCCATTGAGTCCAATATTCTAAAATTATGATTTAATGGAAATATCGACCAATTAACAAATTGGGTACAAAAATCAGTAGAATCTATACTTAGATCTATGTTGCTGCCGATATTTTATTGCTATGTACTATATATACCTATGTCTAATGTTCTGGAACCTATAGTAAAATTTGATGTAGAGTATTTTTCTCATTGAGTTCATCCCTCTAAAGTGATGGTTTCATAGAATTTTCGACCATTGAAAAAATGGCCCAAATTTTCGAACAAAAAATGTCCAAATAATTTTGTAGGTACCAAAACTGATGCCGATATTAAATTGGAATTTACTTTATATACCGATTTTTTGTGTTCGGAGACTCATAGTGGAATGTGATAAGGAGTTTTTCTTTCATTAGGACCAACCCTCTAAAATGATGTTTTGATACAGCTTCCGACCATTATAGAAATCCTATTTTTTGGGATATTTTCAACATTTTGGTTTACCCAAATTGACCGCCATTTTTGAGTGGTATCTGTTCAACATATCGATTTCTTGTGTTTGAAGACCAACAGTAGAATCTCATGCAGAATATTTTTCCCATTGAGTCCAATCGTCAAAAATGATGATTAAATGGAAATTTCGACCAATTAACAAATTTGGTACAAAAATCACTAAAATATATACTTAGACCTATATTGCTGCCGATATTTTATTGCTATGTAATATATGTACTCATATGTAGTGTTCTGGAACTTATAATAAAATTTGGTGTAGAGTATTTTTCTCATTGAGGTCATCCCTCTAAAGTGATGTTTTCATAAAATTTCCGACCAATTAAAAAAATACCCAAAAAATCCGTATGATATGATTTTCTATATATATTAATGTTCATAGAACTATTTAGCCTATACATAGTATATATACACGATTATTGTGTTCAGAGACTCCTAATGAAATTTGATTTAGAATATTTTTTCCATTGGGACCATTGTTCTAAAAAGGCATCTTCATAGAATTATCGACCCAAATCACAAAATACCCAAAAGCTTTTATTTGCCCAAAAAACAGCATCAATTTTATTTATCGATAAATATCGATAAATGTTACATTTTCAGATTTCGATTGTTCAGAGACCCATAGTGAAATTCGCTGGCGCATAATTATCCCATTGAGACCATCTTTCTAAGATGTAGTTTTCAGGGAGATTCGGAACCATTTTGAAAATTACCCAAAAATTAACAACAATTTTTTTTCACCCACTAAAGAGCCTGTGTCTTATTGCGATTTTCATTTGGTTTTAATTGAAAACTGTTACAATTTTATGAGTTTGTATTCCGACCACAATACTTCAATATTGTCGATTGTGGTCAATATTTATGGTTTCCTTTTGTTGATTGTATTGTTGCATTCGAAGCAATTGGATTTCACAATTGAGTTGTGGGTGTGTGTGTTTGTGAAGTAATTGTTGTAGTTTTTGTAAATCAGGGGGCGGCAGGGGTGGCATATATATCAGTCTATAACTTCCTCCCTTCAACCTCCCTCCGTCCCTTTATATATAATTCCATATAGCCTTGTTAAAATCTATGCCCTACAAACAGCTATTGATTTACGCCACACCACTACAATGATGAAATGATGCTTGCGATGTCTGTGTGTTTGTGGTTGTGATTCATGCACTTCCCTGCTGTGAAGCCAATCGATTTCAACAATTTTTCAATTCTCTGTCATAATATCATCATATTTCATATAACAGTTGTAGCCTCCTCACACCCAGAAACAATTTATAGTTCAATAGAGCATTTTGTGGTTTTTGGTGGGTGCCATGGATGTATTCGCGCGTGTTTGTGTCGGTTCGTGTATATGTGAGCTGTAGTTTATTGAGGTAATCCAGAAATTGTTTATTAAATGTTATTTTATTTTTATTATTATTGCCTCAATCCAAGGATTTGTTCTTCATAAAAACACAATTTTTCCCACTGAACGCTGGGCTAAGATGGCTAGAAGGCCACATGAAGTAAAGCAAAAAAAAAAAACAACAACAAAAACACAGAATCCATAACAGTTAAGTGGTTTGATTTATAGATAAAAAATAAAATATTTTTCCTCAAATCAATTGAATTGTGATTTCAATCGATCCTACTTTTGTAATAAAAATTTGAGGGATTACAGATTGTTTTTTTGGAAATATTTGAATTTTAATACAAAACTCAAACAAAATCGGGTTGTAGAGGATTGACCCCAATGACAAAAATATTCGTCTTGCAATTCTACTATAAGTCACCAAACACAAGAAATCTGTAGATATAATAAATACTGGTAAAATTTCGATGCCAACATGGGTATATAGAAAATAAAATAGCCATTGAAGTTAGATTGAATTTTTGGGTGTTTTTTTAATTGGTCTTAAATTCCCCCAAAACGTTGTTTTAGGTTAATGGTCTCAATGGAGAAATTATTCAGCATCGAATTTTAGTATAGGTCTCTGAACAAAGAAATATGTCTTTATAGCCTAATTCAACGAAATATC